CGCGCCTCCCCCTCTTCCCTTCCTCCCCTCCTCCCTCCCTCCCCCTCCTCCCCCTCTCCCTCTCGTACGTACGCGGTGGCTGGCGCAGCGGGTGCAGTATCTGCAGATCCATCGGGCGGTGCACCATCAGCGTGACGTTACGCGCCTCCCTCCCCGTCGTCTTGCTCGCCGCGTGCAGCATCTTCGTCTCCCAGTCCGACCAGTAGACGTCGTTCTCGAACAGCGTCAGCGCGAACACGTGGTGGACGCCGTGCGCGAGCAGCATTCGCCGCCGCCGCCCGTGCGCGTCAGCCGTCCCCAAGTAGTCGCCGCGCGCGTCGCCCCAGTACAGGCGGTCGGTCACGTAGTCGACGGTGAGCGCGTTCGGCCAGCCGAGGTTTTCCGTGACGACGTAGGCAACGTCGGCGCCGTCCATGCCGACGCGCCCGATGTAGGGAGTCTCTCCCCAGTCCGTCCAGTACAGCAGGCTGCGAATAATAATAATAATAATAATAATAATAATAATAATAATAATAATACAATTCCCTCTCTCTCTCCGCTCTTTCTTGCTCGCTCTCTCTCACATCTCTCTCTGTCTTTCTCTCTCTCTCGCTCTCTTTCTCTCTCTCTCTCTCTCTCTCTCTCTCTCTCTCTCTCTCTCTCTCTCTTCTCTCTCTCTCTCTCTGTTTCCTTTTCCCTCTCCTCTCCTCTCTTCTCCACACCATCTCTCTCCTCTTTCTGTCTCCCTCCCCTCCTTTCCCTCTCTCCCCCTCCTCTCCTCCCTCTCTCTCACTCCTGCTCTCACACGTACCCGGCGTTGGGTCGACTCGATGAGCGCGTGGCTCCGTCAGACCTAAGCTGATCACTCCTTGCGATGTTATGCCGTCTAGTCGCGACACCTTCCCTCCTTTCCTCTCCTTCCCGCCCTCTACCTCTACCTCCTCGCTCCTCCTCTCTCTCTCTCCACACGTCCCGGGTTGGGGTTTGACTACGATCGGCGCGTGGCTCCGTCAGACCTGAGGTTGATCAGCACCTGCGATGTTTGCCGTTCCTAGTCGTGACTCCTCCCTCCTCCCTCTCCCTTCCCTCTCTTCCCTCCCTCTCCCCTCTCCTCCTCCTCCTCTCTCTCTTCACACACTACCCGTGTTGGGGTTGACTACGAGGGGCGTGGCTCCGTCACCTTGAGTTGAGGAGCACCGGCATGTTGCCGTTGTCGTGACACTTCCCTCCCTCCCTCCCTCCCTCCCCCTCCCCCTCCTCCGCCCTCCCTCTCTCCCTCTCTCTCAACACGTTCCGGCTTGGGCCGTTTGACTCGATGTGGCGCGTGGCTCGTCGACCTGATGTTGTGAGCACTTCGATCGCTTGCCGTCTGTCGTGACACCTCCCTCCTCCTTCTCTCCCCTCCCTCTCGTCTTTCCGCCCTTACCTCTACTTCTCTCCTCCATCTCTCTCTCACACACGCCCCCTCCCCGCGTTGGGTGTTGACTACGATGGCGCCCGGTGTCGGTCAGACCTGAGTTGATTCAGCACCTTGCGATGTTTTTGCCATCTGTCGTGACACCGTCCCTCCCCTCCTCCCTCCTCCTCCTCTCTCTCTCTCTCACACAAGTACCCGGCATTGGGGTTGACTATGAGGTTGACTAGGATGGCGTGTGGCTCCGTCAGACCTGAGCTGATGAGCACATTGCGATGCTTGCCATCTAGTCGTGACACCTCCCTATCCCTCCCCTCCCTCCCCTCCCTCCCCTCCTCCTCCTCTCTCTCTCTCACACGTACCCGGCGTTGGGGTTCACTACGATGGCGCGTGGCTCCGTCAGACCTGAGTTGATGAGCACCTTGCGATGCTTGCCGTCTAGTCGTGACACCTCGATCGTGTCCGTACCCTTGTCGCACCAGTACAGGTTGCGACCGATCCAGTCCACAGCGAGGCCGTCCGGGTTGTGGACGACGGGAGTCTGGTGCAGCAGCTGTGATGTAGCAAGAACACAGAGACATGGTGTTACAATGAGCATGTATATACAATGTGTGTGAGTGTGAATATATATATATATATATATCTTTAGGCCATAATAAAAATATTGTTTGTTTGCCCTCACCCG